TCTCGCTGAGAGCAGTTCACATTCCTGGGCATCTCAATTTGGGAGCAGATATCCTGTCGAGGCAGGGGCCTAGGCCCGGGGAATGGATGCTTCACCCCGAGGTGGTGAAGCAGATATGGAGAGTGTTTGGCCAGGCTGAGGTGGACCTGTTGCGACTCATATGATATCGCACTGTCCCCTCTGGTTCTCTCTGTCTCATCCAGCTCCACTGGGGCTGGATGCTATGGTACAGATGTGGCTGAGGCTTCGTCTTTACGCCTTTCCACCGATTTTTCTGCTCCCGGGAGTTCTGGAGAGAGTGCGCCGGGACGGGGCCCGTCTGTTGTTAGTATCCCCATTCTGGCCGGGACGAGTTGGGTCTCAGGCCTGATTTCTCTCCTCGACGGCGCTCTATGGGAGATTCCCGTCAGGAGAGATCTCCTCTCACAGGCGGAGGGCACGCCCCCGCCAGGAGCTGTGGGTGTGGCCTCTGAGGAGGCACAACTCATAACTTCCGGTCTCTCAACCGAGGTTGTTGAGACTATCCTCCATCCAGAGCTCCCTTTATGAGGAAACTGTATTTCTGCGGAGACCGCCAGCCCGACCCAGCTAACTGCCTGATTGGTACAGTTCTGGAATTCCAGCAGGCCTGTTTATCCGCAGGGTTGACCCACTCCACCCTAGAGGTTTTTGTGGCGACCATTGCGGCCTACTCGGTGGCCTCTCGGTGGCCAGTCAGTGGGAAGACACCCTCTTCTTAGACCTTTCTTCTGCGGTGCGCTGAGGTTGAGGCCTCCGGCCAGAGAAGCTTATGCTAAGTGGTGGATCAGGATGCTATTCCATAGCCTCGAGTCCTCTGATCTCCCCTCTCCTTTGGGGGTCAAGAGTCACTCCTCCAGAAGTTGGCCTTCGGGACGGCGGCCGTCTACTTTAGCCACTCCGGGTTCTTCTGTTCTCTCGCCCTAGCTGTGCAGTCTTCCACACTAGGCAGAGATTTGAAAGTCTGGCGGCGTGGGAATTCTCGTTCCCCTAGTGTTTTCTGACACAGCTCGAGTTCCTGAAGAGGAATGTCTCAGGTTACGTATGTAACCCTGGTTCCTCGAGGGAACGAGACGCTGCGTCTCGGTGCCATACTTCCGGCATCCCTGTCAGCGCTTGCCTCATTCCTGAAGCTGACACTGGCTCCGCCGCACATGCTTTTATAGCTTCCTGGTCATGACGTCATCCGCCGTGACGTCCCGGCCGCATGTTCTTTTATAGCTTCGTGGTAGTGACTGCCCCCGCCTGTGACGTCCCGCTCAGCTATTGGACTGATTTCACATGTGATTCAGAGCGTAGTCACAGAAGGTGTTCCCCTAGCGTTTTCCGACGCAGCGTCTCGTTGCCACGAGGAACCAGGGTTACATACGTAACCTGAGACGTTTTCCTGCAACATCATAAGTTAAAGGTGCAGTGTGTAAATTTTAGCGGCATCTTGCAGTGAGGTTGCAAATTGCAACGGTCATGACGTCACCCGCCTGTGACGTCCCGCTCAGCTATTGGACTGATTTCACATGTGATTCAGAGCGTGGTCACAGAAGGTGTTCCCCTAGCGTTTTCCGACTCAGCGTCTCGTTGCCACGAGGAACCAGGGTTACATACGTAACCTGAGACGTTTTCCTGCAACATCATAAGTTAAAGGTGCAGTGTGTAAATTTTAGCGGCATCTTGCAGTGAGGTTGCAAATTGCAACCAACGGCTCAGTCCCCCGCTCACCCCTCCCTTTAGAGAAGCTACGGTGGCCGATACAGGACTAAGATGTCATAGTCTGAGACAGCCGAGAGTAGTTTCTTTACAAAGGTAAATCAAGGAATTATATTTACTTAATTATTCAATAAAACTATATTTTATTGCGAATATTATTGTTACTTGTTCATCATTGTGTCAGTGATTTATTCGAACGAACATCATAGTGACGAAACGCGCTCAGTTTGTCCTTTAAGGGCTACTGTACAAACATGGTTGCGACTTTCATGTAAGGGGACCCGCGGTGTATGTAGATATAAATTGCTCATTCTAAGTTAATAAAAACAAAACAGTTAATTGTGTAAGGTCTTTATACACATCTGAAAGCATAGTTATGTATATTATATTGCATTTCTGTCAATAGATCCTCCTAAATATTACACACTGCACCTTTTTTGAATTACTTCTGTGAGTCTCACTTGTGGAGTTTGTGCGTAAGGGTGCCCTCTGGTTTCTAGTATGAATAAAACAGACATTACATTACACATATTTACTCACTAATACTCATAACACCCTGTTTTGGGTAAAAATATGACAAATATAACTTCTCTCTAAAGAAATTTGAAATAAATATGTTAATCCATACATCTTTCTCCAGTGTAGGGAAGTGTATAGGAGTTATTTTTCCTCTCAGGGGATGCACAGGAATTCTTGACAAAAATTAAATTACTGTCACAGATTTTTTTTTTTACTTAATAATTAAAAATTTTATAACAAAGCCTTAGACTTTTCTAATTATTTATAGTTATAGAACCCCTGCATGTGACAGGTCACCCTGCAATTTTCTGTGAAATCTAAGGATGCTAATAATTATATAACCTTACATTGATATAGGAAAACAGTTTGCCCAAATTGTGCTGTCCGATAAACTAGCACAACAAACCTGCTGTTATTATTTATTTTACAAATGTGTTTCTTGTTCAATTTGGATTTTGTGTGCCATGTATGGAACAATAATTTCACATGCCCATTTAAATGATAAACTGCGCTTCTTGTGGTTGTTTTCAGAGATGGTAACAAATGTTTTATTCTTGTGCTGTAATTGTGTGGCCTGTGCTACAAAACTTTCATCCTCTGCAGCACCAGTGCTATGAAAAGTGAACATACAGCCCTATTCAGTCATGAGTTTCTGTTTGAAAATATATATATATTTTTTATTTAATTGATTTATTTTATAATTGATTATTTAGCTGAATGTTGTATTTTAATACCTGTTCTAGACTCTCTGAGTGTAATGTAACAGAAGAAGGTTATAAAGCTCTGGCTTCAGCTCTGAGATCAAACCTTTCACACCTGATAGAGCTGGATCTCACAGGAAATGATCCTGGACCATCAGGAGTAAAGCAGCTCAATGATTTACTACAGGATCCAAACTGTCAACTGAAGACACTGAGGTGAGACATGTAATTGATGCAGGCAATTTATTTGTAAAAATATTTAATTAATACGGTTTCTTAAAGTAAATTCAAGTTTATCTTTAAAATGTAATGAATCCTGCTTCATCATTCTTCTCCAGGTTTTTGAGTCCTGCTGCAGATGAAGCCTGTCAGTATGTGACTGGAATTGTGGGTAAAAACCCGTTACTTCTGAGAGAGCTGAATCTGAGTGAACGTGAACTAGGAGACACACGAGTGAATCAGATCTCTGCTCTACTGCAGGATAAACACTGTAAACTTAAAACACTTCAGTGAGTATTTTTTTATTTATAATGGTACATTTAAAGTATCTTAAATATATCATTATAATGAATACTCCTCAGTGATCACTGAATGTTGGCATCAAGTTCTTTGTGTTTGTAAATTCTCTCCTGTTCATAATTTTAGTCTGCGTAAGTGTGGTCTAACAGAGGAAAGCTGTTCAGCTCTCGCTACAGTCCTGAGATCAAACTCCAGTCTGAAAGAACTTGACATGAGCAACAATAATCTGCAGGATTCAGGAGTGAAGAAACTCCAGAATGGACTAGAAAATATAAACTGCACACTGGAAAAACTTGGGTATGTAAATTAAATGAAAATATTTTAATCGCAAAACATTATCTTTGGTTCAAATTTAAAATTACTCTAGTAGACCTAACAGAAAGGTAAGATTCTTCTTATGTCAGCACTTATGAATAGTTTTTTCTTCACTAACCTGAAGAGGTGCAAAAAAAGTTCTAAACTTGGCTTTTTAACAAAGCAATATGTATTTTAACAGTATTTTCAATAATAAAAAATGTTTTTTTCAATAATATTTATTATATAAAAATATTATTATTATTATTGTTACACACTTCTTTTCTGTAGACTTTCAGACTGCAGTATCACTGAAGAAGGTTATCTAGCTCTGGCTTCAGCTCTGAGATCAAACCCTTCACACCTGATAGAGCTGGATCTCACAGGACATGATCCTGGACCATTAGGAGTGAAGCAGCTCAATGATTTACTACAGGATCCAAACTATCAGCTGAAGACACTGAGGTGAGTGATATTAAAATAATGAAGTCCAATAATTTTGAACTAACTTTAAATAACTTTAGCTGAAAGATTATTAAAGTATTAGATCACTTCCAGAATAAAAATTTCCTGATAATATACTCACCCCTTGTCATCCAAGATATTCATATCTTTCTTTATTCAGTCGTAGAAGGTTATCTAGCTCTGGCTTCAGCTCTGAGATCAAACCCTTCACACCTGATAGAGCTGGATCTCACAGGACATGATCCTGGACCATTAGGAGTGAAGCAGCTCAATGATTTACTACAGGATCCAAACTATCAGCTGAAGACACTGAGGTGAGTGATATTAAAATAATGAAGTCCAATAATTTTGAACTAACTTTAAATAACTTTAGCTGAAAGATTATTAAAGTATTAGATCACTTCCAGAATAAAAATTTCCTGATAATATACTCACCCCTTGTCATCCAAGATATTCATATCTTTCTTTATTCAGTCGTAAAGAAATTAAGTTTTTTGAGGAAAACATTCCAGGATTTTTCTCCGTTTAGTGGACTTAAATGGTTCCTAACAATTTGAACTTTCAAATTGCAGTTTCAATGCAGCTTCAAAGGTCTCTAAGTGATCCCATCTGAGGAATAAGGGTCTTACTTAGCAAAACGATCGGTCATTTTCATAAAAAAATGTATATTTATATACTTTTTAACCACAAATGCTCATCTTGCACTAGCTCTGTGATGCGCATGCGCGTCGTCATATATTGCGTAATCAAGTCACGTGTGGTTAGTTCTTCGTCTGTGTACTTCGGTCCAGAAAGGTAGAGTAGGGTAATAAACTCCATCTAATTTTTTCCTCCAACTTCAAAATCGTGTGATATCGTTATTTTACCTTATTTTGTAAAGGGCGTCTGACTTTCTTTGCACACTCGCGCATGTCACGCGTGCGTGATTATGTAATGTGTGAGGTTGAGCTAGTGCAAGATGAGCAGTTTTGGTTAAAAAATTATATAAATTAGTTTTTTTTCTTAATATTATGATTGTTTTGCTAGATAAGACCCTTATTCCTCAGCTGGAATTGTATAGAGCCCTTTGAAACTGCATTGAAACTGCTGTTTGGAAGTTCAAACCATTGGGAACCATAAAAGTCCACTATATGGAGAAAAATTCTGGAATATTTTCTTTCAAAAGCCTTAATTTCTTTGCGACTGAAGTCAGAAAGACATGAACATTGTAGATGACACGGGGGAGAGTAAATTATCAGGACATTTTTATTGTGTAAGTGAACTAATCCTTTAAACCATGAAAAAGTTATTTTTAAAAGCTTTGAAATTATTAAAGGCTCTGTCACAAGCATTTGAAAACAAGTCATAATATGGCAGGTAATATCGATGTACTTCTCCTGTCTGCAGGTTTTTGGGTCCTGCTGCAGATGAAGCATGTCAGTATGTGACTGGAATTGTGGGTAAAAACCCGTTACTCCTGAGAGAACTGAATCTGAGTGAACATGAACTAGGAGACACACGAGTGAATCAGATCGCTGCTCTACTGCAGGATAAACACTGTACACTCAACACACTTCAGTGAGTATTGTTAATTTATTATTACATATTTAAAGTATCTTAAAGAAATCAGATGACTAAAACAAAATAATTCTCAGTACTCACTGAATGTTGGCATCAAGTACTTTGTGTTTATAAATTCTCTCTCTCATGTTTAATATTTTAGTCTGCGTAAGTGTGGTCTAACAGAGGAAAGATGTTCAGCTCTCGCTACAGTCCTGAGATCAAACTCCAGTCTGAAAGAACTTGACATGAGCAACAATAATCTGCAGGATTCAGGAGTGAAGAAACTCCAGAACGGATTAGAAGATACAAACTGCACGCTGCAGAAACTCAGGTGAGTGATTTAAATCATAGTGTTAAACCATATTTAATGCTAAAAAAATGAAAGAAATGGCAAATATTTTTCTTCTTTAGCAGTAATGTTTTATGTTTTTTTGTTGTTGTTGTTGTTTGTTTGTTTGTTTTGAATCTAACGTTTAATTCACCTTCTTTGCCTTACCTTTTTTTTTTTTTACAATTTAAAATAATTTCTCAACACAATGTTAAGTTTTTACGTGTTTCAATTGTATTATGTAAGATATTTTATTTTGAACTTTTCTGTAGACTCTCTAACTGCAGTATCACAGAAGAAGGTTATAAAGCTCTGGCTTCAGCTCTGAGATCAAACCCTTCACACCTGATAGAGCTGGATCTCACAGGAAATGATCCTGGACAATCAGGAGTGAAGCAGCTCAATGATTTACTACAGGATGGACATTATCAATTGAAGACAATCAGGTGATTAAAATGTCACATTTTTTGAACTTATTGAAAGACATGAAGTCCACTGTATGAAGCTAGGTAAAGGGCCAAATGGTCTACTGTGATGACAGGAAGAGGAATTTACAAACTCTCAATAATAAGAATTTCAACACAATCATACCACTGAATTTCATTTCCAATACAAGTTTCATGACAAAATAATAATTGCTTCAATAATTTGAAAATAAGTACATCCTACTGTAGAAATGCACAATACATAAAATTAAGATGAAATTATATTAAAAAAACATAATCAAAATATAATAATAATAATTAATAAAAATATAATTCCTTTAGGTTTCTGAAAAGTGCTGCTGCACTCGAAGCGTGTAAGTATCTCACTAAAGTTCTGGGTAAAAGTCCATTATTACTGAAAGAACTGGATCTGAGTGACGATAAAATTGGAGATCTGGATGGAGAGAAACTCTCTGCTCTTTTAATGGACTCTCATAGTAAAGTGGAGAAAATGAAGTGAGTGAACATGATTTTATACATTATATCTTCTGTTTATTCAGTGTAAAAAAAACTGTTGGCCACATGTGTGAGCAGATATGAAGAGCTGTTGATCTGTTGTGTGTTGAATATGTGCTGAATAATAAATAATGCTGATTTTGTGTTCAGGCTGAATAATTGTAAGCGGACAGAGAAAAGCTGTTCAGTTCTAGCTACTGTTCTCTCCTCCAAAACCATCCTGAAAGAGATGAACCTGAACAACAGCCGTCTGCTGGACTCAGGAGTCAAAGAGATCTGTGAGGGACTGAAGAATCCTGTGTGTGAACTGAAGATACTCAAGTTAGTACATTTCACCATCAGATACACTCAACTCCAGCAATCACTGGAATATTATATATTCATTCAGTCTGCTCAAAAATACTTTGCATTGTGATTATGTCTTTAACTCTAGTGTGATTTAGTCCATTTATGATTCAGACTATTGTGCAGTTATTAATTTGATCCACAGTGTTAATTTAATTAACGTTTTTATTTTCTGTAGACTCTCTAACTGCAGTATCAGTGAAGAAGGTTATAAAGCTCTGGCTTCAGCTCTGAAATCAAACCTTTCACACCTGATAGAGCTGGATCTCACAGGAAATGATCCTGGACAATCAGGAGTGAAGCAGCTCGATGATTTACTACAGGATCCAAACTGTCAGCTGAAGACACTGAGGTGAGTGTTCTTGATATAATAAAGTGTAATAGAACTAATAGAACTAAAACTAGTAGTAATGTCAGTTGTCAAGATGATTAGTAATTGATTTTCAATAAAATTAGCTATTATTTGACAGCTTAATTGTTTATGCCACTAATGTTAAAAATTGAAAAATAAAGAAAAATAGAAATTTGCAGCAACATAGTATGCATGGGAACAAGACGGATGTTGCGGCGCAGTTCTTTATTTTCCCCCTGATCTTGCGCACTATGAGATCCATGTTGTCCCCAGACACTTAAAGATGCACAGAGAGCACCCACCTCGAGTGATGCCAACTTAGCAATTTTGTTGGTCGATTTTGCAACTTTTCAGATGATCCTAGCAACTTTTTTTCCCAAAAAGCACTAGCAACAAATTTAGCAGCTTTTGAAAAGTTGCTATATCAAATTCTATAATGCATGCATTGTCACCCTAAATGGCATGATTTTCACTCCAATTTTCTCTGTCACACACTCAGTCACAAGACATGGACACGTTCTGACTGAAAGAGTGCATTGTGTATGAAATCATCTGCGGTGGCAGCTCAGCTGACTTCAACTGCAATAACATGCGTTCGAGACAAACTTATTTTGAAATCACTTATGATTGTTACTCATTCGTTTTCTGTTTCTCAAGAAATCGTTTTAAGACTGCAATGGCCGGCTTATCATTTAAATGATCATTTTTATCATTAAAACTGGTTTTGTCAAAATGTTGATCATACGAAAACCTTTGAAATTATTACTGGCCCTTTCACATACTTTCACTAAAGTCATTATATGGCAGGTAATGTCAGTGTACTTCTCCTGTCTGCAGGTTTTTGGGTCCTGCTGCAGATGAAGCATGTCAGTATGTGACTGGAATTGTGGGTAAAAACCCATTACTCCTGAGAGAACTGAATCTGAGTGAACGCAAACTCGGAGACTCAAATGTTAATCGACTCGCTGCTCTACTGCAGGATAAACACTGTAAACTCAACACACTGATGTGAGTATTTTGTTTACTATGGCATATTTAAGCGGCCATACTGGGACGTTTTGACTTCTCTTTTCTATAGTGGAAGGAAGTCGAGACGCGTCATCCATCTTTTTATTTTTTTACAGTTTATAGGTGTGTTCCAATTCGCATACTTATGCACTATTCCACTACTCGCACTACTCATGTTAACTCTAAAAATTCCAAAAAGAATAAGTGCACTTTAAATACTCAGATGATGCACTTAATTAACCAATAAAATGAAGTGTGTAGTGTTGGACGCTTTATGCACTCAACCATCGCAGCTTTAATTATGTAGTGGAGGTGGAGGGGCAGCAGACTCCAATGATGACAAAATACCCTTATATTATAATTCATACACTACACGGTTGAGTGGATAGTGCATAACTATGGATTACTTTGGTTAACTTTGGAAATGCAATAGGTTACAGATTACAAGTTATCTTTTTTTTTTAATGTAGGAAGTAGGGTAACTATTTCAATTACTTTATTAATATAACTGATTACATTTGGTTACGTTTAGATTACTTTTTTATATTTCTAATGAATGTTTTCAAATGTTAACTGTGTGAGTAATCCCAACAATAATGTTAATCTAAATCTTTATTATTATAGTTGTGGTGTGAACTCTGCTATTCTTTTAAATTTAAAATGATATTTAGAACTTCATCTTTATGCATATAGTTATCGTTCTTGTTGTGAACGGGCCTTAATGTTTCTGCCAGATATGAAGTATATTTTTCTTCTCTGATCAAAAGAGAAAATAAATAAAATGCATTTAAACTTTTGGTATAAAATTATCTTATGTGTAATGAATTTGATTACTTTTTAAAATATGTTTTCTGTAGGCTTTCAGACTGCAGTATCACTGAAGAAGGTTATAAAGCTCTGGCTTCAGCTCTGAGATCAAACCCTTCACACCTGATAGAGCTGGATCTCACAGGAAATGATCCTGGACAATCAGGAGTGAAGCAGCTCAATGATTTACTACAGGATCCAAACTGTCAGCTGAAGACACTGAGGTGAGTGATTTTAACGTATGTTTTAAGTTTAATAATTGCAAACTGAATTGAATCCTGCGTCATCTTTTTTTCTGCAGGTTTTTGGGTCCTGCTGCAGATGAAGCATGTCAGTATGTGACTGGAATTGTGGGTAAAAACCCGTTACTCCTGAGAGAACTGAATCTGAGTGAACATGAACTAGGAGACACAAACATGAAGCAGCTCGCTGCTCTACTGCAGGATAAACACTGTACACTCAACACACTGACGTGAGTATTTTACATGCTCTGAAATGTTAAATTGCTTTTAATAGTAATGTTACAGTAGTTGATAATACTATTTTCTCTTTTGCCTGAATTAGAGACACAATAAAATTATGTATTAAAATTGTATTGCTTTCTACCCAGAGCTCTGTGGATCAAACTTTTTAGTTGGCTAAACAAATCAATAATGTATTTTCAGTCAAGTCAACAATTATTTCAGCTACTGTAGAGGGAGTTGAAATAATCTTTTTATTTTTCAATAATATAATAATTCTAAAAAATAATAATTCTACAGTTTGTAGAATTACAGTAGAATATTCTGAAAAATAAATTTTTTGATGCTGAATTCTGAGCTGCATTTACTTACGAAGTGCTTTTCAAATGGCAAACTACTGTCATGCGACCCACACTTTTAACTTTATTGGGTCATCATAGATGTGATTCATTGTCTTCTCTCTCTCTGTCTTCAGTCTGTGTAGATGCAGTATTACAGAGAAACAGTGTCTCATCCTGACTTCAGCTCTGAAAACAAACCCATCACACCTGACAGAACTGGACCTGAGTGAGAATAAACTACAAAACAGAGGAGTGAAGATCTTATGTGACGTAGTGAAGGACTCAGACTGTAAACTGGAGAGATTGAGGTCAGGAACATTCATGAGTTCACATATTTGTGAAAAGGTCTTCACATTATTTGTGCGTTTTTGTGATATGGTGAAATAAAATGATCTCTCTTCTTTTGTCTATTGTTGTTATGAAGTTAGCTTCTGTCTTATTTTCTGCTCTCTTTCTCAATGTAGGTTAAGATACTGTGATATGACAGATGAAGGTTGTTCTGCTGTAACTTCAGCTTTGCAACCAAACCCATCAAACCTGAGAGAGCTGGACCTCAGTGGAAATCAACTAGGAGTTGAAAACCTTGGTGTTCTGCTGAAGAACCCAGAATTCAAACTGGAAATACTAGCGTTAGTACCAGTTTACTGTTTAGGTGTATTTGCACTGCACATTCTGGAATTTCCTCAATGATCATACATTATATTAGGTGTTTAACACTCCTAATGCATGCATTTTCAATGTATGTTTCTTTTCAATATATGTTGAATAAAAACTGTGTATCCTCCAAAATGTTGTACAAAAACAGAAATGGTGAGACCTTAAAATATCAGGAGTGTAAAACATTCTCATTCTCCCCACACACTCCTACACAGACAGAGAGAAAATAAAATGAATGGCAATCTCTGACTGTTAGCGTTACTGCAAAAATTATACTGCAAAAAATGTTGGCAAAAAAATAGAGGTATAATATCTGAATAAATATCCAAAGTATAACGTCTAAGCATAAAATCTAAAATTTTTACACATCAAATTAGACTGTGAATTAAACTAAAAGTCTGTAGCTCTTCAATAAGATCATTTCACTTTTTTCTTTTTATCTTCAGTCTGTGTGGATGCAGTATTACAGAGAAACAGTGTCTCAGTCTAAGTTCAGCTCTGCGTTCAAACCTTTCACACCTGAGAGAGCTGGACCTCAGTGACAAATCAATAATGTATTTTCAGTCAAGTCAACAATTATTTCAGCTACTGTAGAGGGAGTTGAAATAATCTTTTTATTTTTCAATAATATAATAATTCTAAAAAATAATAATTCTACAGTTTGTAGAATTACAGTAGAATATTCTGAAAAATAAATTTTATGATGCTGAATTCTGAGCTGCATTTACTTACGAAGTGCTTTTCAAATGGCAAACTACTGTCATGCGACCCACACTTTTAACTTTATTGGGTCATCATAGATGTGATTCATTGTCTTCTCTCTCTCTGTCTTCAGTCTGTGTAGATGCAGTATTACAGAGAAACAGTGTCTCATCCTGACTTCAGCTCTGAAAACAAACCCATCACACCTGACAGAACTGGACCTGAGTGAGAATAAACTACAAAACAGAGGAGTGAAGATCTTATGTGACGTAGTGAAGGACTCAGACTGTAAACTGGAGAGATTGAGGTCAGGAACATTCATGAGTTCACATATTTGTGAAAAGGTCTTCACATTATTTGTGCGTTTTTGTGATATGGTGAAATAAAATGATCTCTCTTCTTTTGTCTATTGTTGTTATGAAGTTAGCTTCTGTCTTATTTTCTGCTCTCTTTCTCAATGTAGGTTAAGATACTGTGATATGACAGATGAAGGTTGTTCTGCTGTAACTTCAGCTTTGCAACCAAACCCATCAAACCTGAGAGAGCTGGACCTCAGTGGAAATCAACTAGGAGTTGAAAACCTTGGTGTTCTGCTGAAGAACCCAGAATTCAAACTGGAAATACTAGCGTTAGTACCAGTTTACTGTTTAGGTGTATTTGCACTGCACATTCTGGAATTTCCTCAATGATCATACATTATATTAGGTGTTTAACACTCCTAATGCATGCATTTTCAATGTATGTTTCTTTTCAATATATGTTGAATAAAAACTGTGTAAACAGAAATGGTGAGACCTTAAAATATCAGGAGTGTAAAACATTCTCATTCTCCCCACACACTCCTACACAGACAGAGAGAAAATAAAATGAATGGCAATCTCTGACTGTTAGCGTTACTGCAAAAATTATACTGCAAAAAATGTTGGCAAAAAAATAGAGGTATAATATCTGAATAAATATCCAAAGTATAACGTCTAAGCATAAAATCTAAAATTTTTACACATCAAATTAGACTGTGAATTAAACTAAAAGTCTGTAGCTCTTCAATAAGATCATTTCACTTTTTTCTTTTTATCTTCAGTCTGTGTGGATGCAGTATTACAGAGAAACAGTGTCTCAGTCTAAGTTCAGCTCTGCGTTCAAACCTTTCACACCTGAGAGAGCTGGACCTCAGTGAAAATGAACTAAAAAACACAGGAGTGAATCACTTATGTGACGTACTGAAGGATTCACACTGTAAACTGGAGAGATTGAGGTGAGGAACATTCACATGCATGAAAGAAACAATTGTTTTTGTGTTTGACTAAGACAGAATGAAATTTTTTTGTTTTTTGATCATATTTCTCCCAATGTAGGTTAGGATGCTGTGATGTGACAGATGAAGGTTGTTCTGCTGTGACGTCAGCTCTGAAATCAAACCCATCACACCTGAGAGAACTGAACCTGAGCGGAAATCAACTAGGAGATTCTGGAGTGAAACACCTCTGTGATCTACTCAGGAACCCACAGTGCAAGCTGGAGAAACTAGAGTTAGTAACATTATACTGTACAGCAGTTACAGCATGATGAAAGTGTATTATGCTGTTAGCTAATGGCTTGATGATTCAGTGTGTGTGTGTGTTTCAGTAGCAAGAACTTTAAACTCTGAAACTTTGTCACTAAAATTTGTTTAAAATGGTTTCATATGCTAAAATAGAAGAAGTGGCAATAGACTAAAACAGTCTAACATGAATGACATTAGATTATTTTGGCAGAGTTACATGGTTTTTCAGCACTAATAGAACTTTTGACTGCATCTACTTTTATTAAGCAACATTTGTTGATGGTAAACTATGCTCAACCAAATTTGATTCATGTACCAAATTTCCTTGTAAATTTTTTAATTGTTATATAGTTGATCCTGTATCTTAATTTACATGAATAATGTATAGTTGTTGTTTTTTGTCTAAGTGAAGATGGTTCCAGAGATGCTAGTATCATCAAATCCAACTTATCCTGTATTGGCTTATGATTATACAATTACGTTTTTCAGATTGTTGCTGTTGTGTCAGTGACTGTATGGCATTTATTCATTATGTATTTAACTCACACATGAACTGAACATTGATGTGATTCATTGTCTTTTCTCTTTCTGTCTTCAGTCTGTGTGGATGCAGTATTACAGAGAAACAGTGTCTCATCCTGATTCTAGGTCTGTGTTCAAACCCATCACACCTGAGAGAACTGGACCTCAGTGAGAATCAAATGAAAAACACAGGAGTGAATCACTTATGTGACGTACTGAAGGATTCACACTGTAAACTGGAGAGATTGAGGTTAATAACATTCACATACAAGAATCCAAATGCTCAAAATCACTTAACAGGTTTAACCTGACGTTTTAAGGCCCTGATATACTTGAAGTAAAACTTAAGAACATATGGATATGACGTCATTTCAGATGAGTTTGTTGAATTCACCTTACTCTGTTTTCCATGAAGATGATATGCCGTAATGGAATAAGAGGTTTGTTTTTCTCATTTCCCCTGTTTTAGGTTAAGATACTGTGATATAACAGATGAAGGATGTTCTGCTCTGACTTCAGCTCTGAGATCAAACCCATCACACCTGAGAGAACTGGATCTTAGTGGGAATAAAGTAAAAAACAAAGGAGTGAAGCACTTATGTGACGTACTGAAGAATTTAGACTGTAAACTGGAGAGATTGAGGTAAGAAGCTTTTGTTCATTAGAGGTGCTCCTGGAGGCCAACATTTTGCAGAGTTTAGCTCCAACCTGCTCCAACACACCTGCCTGCTGTAATCTTGAAGATATTTGATTATCTCCTTCAGGTGTGTTTAATTAAAGTTGAAACCAAAATGTCCAACTAAAGGACATAGTGGTCCTCCAGGAGCAGGATTGGACAAACCTGATCTACAAGAATCAAAATACTTAGTTATGTAAATATCTACATACACTCAATATCACTTAAATATTTCACATTTTATTTCAGGACACATAGTGATGTTTTTTTTTTCCTCTGCATGACATGAATTTTGAGAACATAAAATTATCTTTTTTTTAATGCAGTGATGAGATGGTAATTTGGTCCTTGAATGACATGATGTAATTTTTTTTAAAGGGACAAGTAACATTTCAAGGAATGAAAATGGCAAACAATCATATTTTTGGCAGAATGTAATAGAAAACTAGAACTAAGTCCTGTTAAGGTGTTTCAGAGAGAAATCATTATTTTAAAAGCAGTACAAGTCATTAGTCTGTAAATGGTTTTGTTGTGATAATTTGTCTTGAAATTCAAAAAGCCAAGATCTCCCCCAAAAAAGATTAAAATTTTTTTAGAGCAGGTTACTTATTATTGTAGTGAAATCTTGAGACACTCAGCAGATTAGATTCCCATTTAAATAATTGATTTCACTTCTGAAATTTTGTTGAACAAAGATGATTTAAAACTCTGGGTTAAAGTGAAAGTCTCTTTCTCTGTCTTTTTCTAGCCTAAGTGACTGTGGCATTACGGATGTTGCATGTTTGGCTCAGCCTTTGGCTAAGACGAAAGCTTTGCATTTTTTAAAAGAACTTGATCTGAAAAAGAATAAAATAGGAAACTCAAGGAAGCAGCTCAGTAAAGCGCTTAAAGACTCCAACTGTAACCTGAGGCGAGTAAACATCTTTTGTCGTGTCATATTAACATGATAACTAATAAGATTACAGACGTTTAATATTAGTGTGATCTGTTACACTTCTTGTTATTCAAAAAAAAAGTAATTGAAACTCTGTAATATTCAACTTATTACAGCCAACACTGTTTATTTTCTCTTTTGATTTCTCCCTAACAGCCTAGACAGTGAACAGCACCTGTTCAGAGCTGGTCTAAATCATGTTGGTGGATGGTTTTACATTGTGAAATCAACAGGACTGGACCAGACACCATCGGATGAGGGACCACAAAAATGAAAATATGTATTTGTATGGCTTTTAGAATGGGAACAACAATTCATAAATATAAACTATTCAAAACCAACAGCTAAACCTACAGCATTTAACAAATGCAAAATGTATTGTAGTAGATTTAATGTGTTACTATTTAAATAATTCCTAATGCATAATGGTGGAACAAATTACAAATGAAATATAGCAGCATTACAAAGCAAAGAGAAATAGAACAAAAGGGCTAAATATATATATATATATATATATATATATATTTAAAAATATATATATATATATGACATACATGTTTTTATTAATTAGTTCATTCTTGACAGCGTATTGTTTTGAGTGCGTTTGCATTTTAATTGTGTATTTTGTGCTTGTTTTATTAAGCTGTAAATATCTACATGTCTGTTTTATTAATGTCAGCGTGCCCATGCTTCTTTTAATTACTTGAATTTTAGTCACATGGATTCAAGGACTGGAAAATGGGAAAACAAAGTAGGTCCTACTAAAGTTTGTTAGAGAATCGTGGTGCTATTACAGAAATGGACCTTTATGCACTGCCAAAGCCAGAATGGAAGCGCTACTTGGAAAAGTAGCATGAGCGGATCAAATATAGCCTTTTGTGATCCACAATATAGCCTATTAGACAAACATCAACTCTTGGTGAGTTTTCATTAGCGCTTGATCATACGTGAGTGTTGAGTGTCACAGATATAGTTTTTAAGAGTATGAAGATGTTTTAAGAGACTTTAATCACTCTTAAAAGTCTGAGAGATGTCTTTTAATTATGGTCATTTGCGTGATCCTCTGCCCATCTTGACTTCTGAGAGACACTGCTACTCTGAGAGGCTCTTTTTATACCCAATCATGTTGCCAGTTGACCTAATAAGTTGCAAATTGGTCTTCCAGCTGTTCCTTATATGTACATTTAACTTTTCCGGCCTCTTATTGCTACCTGTCCCAACTTTTTTGGAATGTGTAGCTCTCATGAAATCCAAAATGAGCCAATATTTGGCATGACATTTCAAAATGTCTCACTTTCAACATTTGTTATGTTATCTATATTCTATTGTGAATAAAATATAAGTTTATGAGATTTGTAAATTATTCCATTCCTTTTTTACTCACAATTTGTACAGTGTCCCAACTTTTTTGGAATTGGGTTTGTATATGTATATACATATAAGCTCAATATCATAGAGCCTAGCGATATCATCTTTGACTCAACTGATTCGTTCAAAACATGGAATCAATCAGCAATGAATCCGTCTAAAATGTAAGTGACCTAATATTATTGTATTTGCTTATTGAATTGTTTATAGAACGATTAAACAGTCACAATGGTGAAAACATTGTGTGATGTTGCCTAACTAACTGTAACAATTTAAACCCTGGTCATTTGTGTTTGTTATGTTTTTAATGTCTTGTGTGTACAATAAACAAAACAACTGTGGACAACACCTCTCTATTATTATGTGCTTTATAAATGAACTGGAACTGGAAATAGATTGTGATTGTGCGCAGGCAGCCCTTCACGGTGAACCCTTGAGAAGCATGGTGCAATTTAGCTTAGTGTCAGGGAAGAGCACATTCAGTGCTTGACTCAGGGCAAATATTGTTATTTAGTGCAAATGAGCTCCATCTACGTCAGTGATTGAATTTGCATTTTAATTCAGCATGTCTGCCATTTTTGTTCGGTTTCAGATTCAGAGATTCAGTCAGTCAGGACATCTGAAAACACATCAGGAGATCCACACTGGAGAGAAGCAGCACACATGCTCAGTGTGGGAAGAGTTTTCACATATGTAAATGGTCTTCTCATTTTTGGGAAAGATGATGCTACAGTAGATTAAAGAAGCAGTACAAGTCGACCAGCATGTTGTGAACAGAGCCCAACCTCTTTCCAATCCTCTTACTTCAGCCATAAAAGCCAGAGATGCTGTCATTGTGGCACTCTGCCTAGTTTCAAATAAAGGGACAGCTGTGGAGACAGCACAAACTAGATATTCTCAACAGAAGAAATTCCTTCAGCATTGTCAGTTTAGGCAGTTAACCCAAGATGAATGGGTGCGAAAACGAGTACATCTCATGGAAATTTGTGAGGAGAGGAAAACATGGTCATACCCTAACTAAAATAAATTTTTTCAAACTGGTTGAGTGACGATCTGAGTGAAGTGAATACAGACCCGTAATTGTCTGAAGACCTGTGAAAAGATATATGAGAGGGCTAATTTATAACACTGTTAATTGTTAAAATGAATTTTATTAATACAGGCATGCACGTTGGTTGGCATCAGAGATGTGGATCTTAAACTTGCATTTCTTTAGAAGTGACTTTGTATGCATGTTAAAGCTCATTTCATCAGTGTCAACAGTTGAGTGAGGCAAACTACACCATCACCATAAATCTCTTCATTATATTCTGATAAACCATGTAAAAACAACCTAAAACTAAAAGAGCAATGAACAAAAGCTCTACCACTTTGACGAACTATTTTTTGCGTTTGCTTGCGGTTTAGATTTCTCCTAAGAAACTTTTGCGCTCCCTCTATTCGTTTTTTTGTTCACTTGCAGATCTATTACAAGTGAATGCACAGTTTCTCAGGGAACATGCTTATACCAAAAAATAAAAAAGCATTGTCCAAAGTTGTCAACTGAACAAAGTTTATCTTCAGGACCAGCGGTTTCAACTTTCATCCATAAGTTTGTTACAGAGTTGGTCTTTGCTCTTTCATACTAGAAGGCCTATACGGTGGACATTCAGGTTGACGTCAGAGTTCTGTTTGTTTGAATAATGTTAATGCTGCTTTCTGAACTCAGGTTTGCACCGTAGGACCGAAGCTGAGAGCATAAGTAAGATATGGTCTGAATTTGTTTACAATGTGTGGTGGAGGAGAACAAAGTCTGCAACAGATTGTTAGAAAACACTCTCTGTCTTTTGATGCCGTACCCCTCCTTTCTCACTCTTTCTCTCTCCTTCTCTGAATCACCCCTCCTCTATCTGTTCTCTCTCTCTCTTGTATGGTGTTTGAATGTCTCTTACTCAATATTCAAGGTAAAGGAGTTTGTGCTGATTTAGAAGGGGGGTTCAGACTCTGTCGCCAGGAAGTCTATTCCTTATATGGATATGTTTTTCTGTATATGTGGCAATTTTATACAAAACACATGTTCTTGGGAAAAACATCCTGTATGGGTATGTCCCCCTATCCTCATTGGTTAAGAGGGTGAAAACTCCCCTCGACATGCCTATATAAGATCTGTATTTCTGTGAATAAATTGAAGTATTTGAGAATACATTTGAATGTGTGTTTTCTTGCTTCCCGGCCGTATTTATTTATACACTTGGAGAGACTGAGAAGATTTCACGGTGGCAAAGAGATATCGAGGGACCAAATTGTTATTTTTATTAACACAGATGTTGGGTGCATCTTAAATTGAAGACTGCATATCGACTGTAGGTTGCCACATCATAAACCTCCATCAAAGGACATCTCAATTTGAAGGTTGCTTAGTAGGCAGTCTTCATTTTGCATTCTTAATTCAGCCTGTTTTAAAGGATGCATCAGGTGTATCTTTCTTGTCTTTCAATCCACAATTCACAACAACAACAAAAAAAGCTGAAAATGATTTGACACAGCTTATTCAGCTTCATTATATTATGCAAGACCAAAAATAAATAAATTAATTAATTAATTAATAAAATTGGCATGAAGTAAATGAATCACATAATGCTAAACTGCTTAATGTAAACAACTAGTAGACCATTGGTTGTCATTACCTGTACACTGCATTAACAGAAAGATTCAGTTCATGTAAAACATTTCAATATAAAGTGTCTTCAAATGATAATTTAAGTAGCCTATTCCCGCTCCCTGACCGCGGGGCAATTTGAAGGTTGCTTAGTAGGCAGTCTTCATTTTGCATTCTTAATTCAGCCTGTTTTAAAGGATGCATCAGGTGTATCTTTCTTGTCTTTCAATCACATTTCAAAAAAAAAAAAAAAAAAAGCTGAAAATGATTTGACACTTAGCTTATTCAGTTTCATTATATTATGCAACACCAAAAATAAATAAATTAATTAATTAATAAAATTGGCATGAAGTAAATGAATCACATAATGCTAAACTGCTTAAACAACTAGTAGACCATTGGTTGTCATTACCTGTACACTGCATTAACAGAAAGATACAGTTCATGTAAAACATTTCAATATAAAGTGTCTTCAAATTATAATTTAAGTAGCCTATTCCCGCTCCCTGACCGCGGGGGAGAAAACATTTACAACGTAGACATTCGCACTTACTAGACACTAGAACGTCTTATTCTAGCGTTTAATGCTGAGCAGGACTTTAGCCTTGAAGAAGGACTGGTATAGGAAGAACATGTCATCACGAGCTTTCAGTTTGACAAGCACCCATACTATTTTTCTCTCTGTTGGTGGCGGTAATGCACCTGCAACCGCGAATGAACAGAAGAAGAAGAAGAAGCAGAAGAAGAAGAAGAAGAAGAAACAGTCTCCACGCACTGTGCCCTTATTCACTCTCTTAGCGGTGAACCTTCTGAGGTGAGAAGAGCTTTTATTTATACAATCATAAAAACACAATTTGAGTAACATTTTCGAAGCCATTTGTGTAGTGTTTTCTTCGGATATAGCGCCATTCGTGGGTCTTTTCTGGCGTCTGCTGACTATATAAACATAGACGTCTTATTCTAGCGTTTAATGCTGAGCAGGACTTTAGCCTTGAAGAAGGACTGGTATAGGAAGAACATGTCATCACGAGCTTTCAGTTTGACAAGCACCCATACTATTTTTCTCTCTGTTGGTGGCGGTAATGCACCTGCAAACGCGAATGAACAGAAGAAGAAGAAGAAGCAGAAGAAGAAGCAGAAGAAGAAGAAACAGTCTCCACGCACTGTGCCCTTATTCACTTACTTAGCGGTGAACTTTCTGAGGTGAGGAGAGCTTTTATTTATACAATCATAAAAACACAATTTGAGTAACATTTTCGAAGCCATTTGTGTAGTGTTTTCTTCGGATATAGCGCCATTTTTAATTAAAAAAGATTTAGCTAAATAAATTAGCCTAAATGTTCAAGATATTAAGTCAGAGTTATGGCACTATTAGTCTCACGTAGCCAAACCTACAGACTGACGGCAGAAGGTCTGGGAACCATGGCCACTTTGAATGGCCAATGACTGCCCAAGAGGCCATATGACTGACAGATAAGCAACCAATCATGACTCGTTTTATGCCGTCAATAGCAGACCAGTGTTTTAAACTCGTATTTTAAACGACGTATTTTAAAGAATCTATGCTGTAAATTTTACATGTTTCACGTACAGGGATTTTCCTGCATAGAGAAATGTGAAGCGGTCGTCTCTGTCAAATTTTGTCCTGCTTCTGGCTGTCGACAAACTCAAACAGACAGTCGTGTGTAGTTTCACTTCACAGCATCCATTAGGGCTGCACGATTAATCAAATGCGATTGTCATGTGCATCTTGTCAGTAAAGCCAGTTCTGTGATCAGTAGTAAATCTCCATCATGTGCTTTCAGATGGAGCAACTTTTACAACACAGAGCCGTAGTTCACTGACAAGCTATTAGGGCTGCATGATAAATCGAAATGTAATCGCAATCGAGATTAGGCAAAAGCTGTGATTGTCATGCGCATCTTGTCAGTGAAGTACAGTTCTGTGATCAGTAGTAAATCTCGATCCGAAGGCCAGAAGGTGCTCTCGTGCTGAAACTCCAAATACACCCCGCAGAAGGAATCGAGGAAATGTAGCTGAATAAACAGAAGTTTTAACTGCTTTCATTGATTCAATATGACTAATGAACAAACGACTTCAACAATATATGGTTTATCTAAGTTTGTCTTATTATAATGTTCATTATAATAAAGTATATAGTAATGCAATGCTAATCGACATAACACTCGACTGACGTTATGAGTGAGATTGGAGTAAAAACGTGATTAAATGTGATATTTTCACTGGTCAGATGGAGCAGCATTTACTATACAGACAGCTGTAGTTCACTGAGAAGCTACACAAACAGCTTTCATAATCGCAGATCGATTTCTTCGATTTCATAATCGCACGATTAAATCGTCTGCTTTTTTTTTTGTCAGTGAACTACGGCTCTGTGTAATAAATGTTGCTCCATCTTAAAGCAGGTGATGGAAATTTACTACTAATCACAGAACCAGCTTTACTGACAAGATGTGCATGACAATCATTTATAAAAGCGATTTATAAAAGATGTTTGCGTAGCTTGTCAGTGAACTACGGCTCTGTGTAGTAAATGCTACTCCATCTGAAAGCAGTGAAAATACCACATTTATTAACATGTTTTTACTCCAAACTCACTCATAACGTCAATCGAGTGTTTGAAATAAACCCCTCTGTGAGATGATGTGGCTTCTTACACAGAATAAGGCATGCATATTTCATAGTATTCTAAGCACTGTAGGGCTGCACGATATATCGTTCAGCATCGATATTGTGATATGCGCATCCGCCATAGTCACATGTGCAATGTTTAGTATACTGATCGTTATATTTATACTGATTGTTTTCTTTGAACATACAGACATATGTCTACACCGGACGTGACACGCCCAGTGCTGCAACAGCTAAAGTCTGTCTACACTAGTTCTTCATAAAACTTGGCAGCAGTTTACTGTCGGGGATTTCTCGTGTCGTGCCACGCCGCATCTAGTGTAGACAGCATTATAATGGGTTCTATAGTATTTTGTTGCTTCGCGCTGCGCTGCTCGTGTCTGGTTTACGCAGATGCAGCACACAAACACCGAATGCCGTTCACTTCCGCGTCTATTTGTGCCTGAAATGACACATACGCACAGAACTATGTCAAAATGCATGTCTCTGCAAGTATCCTTGTAAACACAGTTGCTTATGGTTTAGGTAAAGGTAAACAGTGACAAAGAAAATGGATGTGTAACAGTATATTGGTTCACAGCAGTTTAATG